AATGTGGAATTTTGCCTCAGCTGGAAGGCTAGGGGCCACCTGGCTTGCTTCCTTTCTCAGGCATGAACAGAACAGCTTCTGGGTCTGTATCTTGGTGACTCCAATCATTGAGCTGGAAACATAGGCTTGATGGATGGGAGGAGAAACCATCATCTCCTTTCCATTCTCTTTTCAAGGACTATAGTCCTGAAGAAAATGCCAAACTAGATATATTTTACATTTCTCAAAGGTAGAAACGGGCTCCTTCAACTCAAGATCTACCCCAAGACTGTGTCTTCTAGCAGAGCCTACAAGGTAGGTGCATCTCTCAAGAGACCAGGCCACTCATCTCTTAAACCTTTCCTTCCATTAACCTTGAAAGGCCCAGTTTCCAATAGAGTCAGCAACTGCTCTGAAAAGAGAAGGCAGATCAAAGCACATCTGGAATTCAAAGTCGCCTCTGGCTGTGTCAAGAGACAAAGAAAGGGCATCCCTTTGCCTCTGTCCACACCCACATGGTCCCGTGGCTCTTATGAGGCTAAAGTACTTATCCAACTGTATCTAAAATCTTTCGTGTGCATGTGTGTTGGGGAAAATGGAGGGCCAGTTTGGGAGAAAATCATTTCTCTGTGGCTCTTGGATGGGAGAAGGCAGAAGGTGGAACCGTGTTCTTCCTGTGCTGGGAAGTACAAGGTGCAGATTTCAAAGTAGGAGGAAATAAAGAGGAAACTTTCAGTTGTATTTTCACTGGGAAAAAAAATCTGAACTTACTTCCGAGCCAAGTCCTGAGCCCAGCTTCCCCCTTGTCCTACGGAGAGAAATGAGATCGCCTAGAAGCTACAACTGAACTGCTCTCCTTGGGCAACAAAGGCTTCATGCTCTGTGCTTGAGACATCCACATTTGTTGACTAGAGGAAGCTATAATTCTGAAGCTGCCACACTGAGTACAGCTTTTGCTATCCTGAGGCTCAACCCAGAAGCTCCAGTGAGACATCTGCTTCCCCGTAAGGTTATTTTCTACTTTTGAGGTTTTGTTTCAGTCTTTGAGAAATAAAGAGCCATTCTCCTTACCCTTCTTATGATCCAGGGGGCTGTCTGGTTCCTCTGGCTCTTGGTGGGAAAGGCTGCCATCCTTACAGATCGAAAAACAAGATACACTGACCTACTGACCAACCCTTAAGGAAGCTGGGTTATCTCACACACTCCTACCCAACAAGAAGCTAAACTATCAAGGATTGTCAGAGCTGACCTTTTAGACAGCCTGGTTCTTGAAGTCACCTTATCTTACGTGGAAATCTAGGGAGTAAAGGCATTTCTTTTTTTTTTTTTTTTAA